ACCTCCCGACCCAGTTTTCCTCTCTACTGTTCCCTGTTTTTTTTTAAACTTATTCACCTTTCTCTTGCTGGTTCTCGAATGGACTTTGATGATGGAAGCCTGAGTAAGAATGTTGGTACTATTACTGAAGGCCTGAATGATCTTTTTTCCTTTCAATAATCTTCGTTTGGGAAGACAGCGGAGCTGGCAGAAAAGGATCTGAAGCTGTTCTCTTTGTAGCTGAAGAACTCAAAAGGTTTTTCATTGATTTTTTACGACAAATGGTGTAAAGAGATATTAAACGCCTTATCTGAAAACCTGGAAAAAGCTCAATTTAGCGTTTCTTTAGATATTGAACATTTTGTGAGATCGATAATTATGTTGTTACACACACACATTTTTTTATATATATAATATATATAATTTGAGTATATAGTCTAGCCAATTTCATTTAGCGTCTTTTTGTTCATGTTTCCACCATTTGTGTTATTAAATATTCCATATTGCGATAATAGAATCTTGTCGTACTGGAACAACTTACCTATTCACCTGATCTTTTCCGTGTGAATTTTCCTTTTCACCAAGGGGATCATCAAGAGAACTCGTTTTGAAAGCACGGTGGCGCCATCTAAAAGACCGTAACGACGGAGCTGAAGAAGCGTCCAATAAGAATCCTTCCAGCAGTGCATAGAAACATGTCAAGGAAGGATGGAAAAGTGCATTAGACTCAAGGAGGATTATCTCGAAGAAGGGGAGATCATATAGTTTGTTGTTTATAATTTAAATAAATAAATTATATTGTGACACTAATCACTTTACTTTCCAGTCATACTCTTACATTATATATATATATATATATATATATATATATATATATATATATATATCATATTTATATATATATATATATATATATATATATATATATATCACGTTTATTTATATATATATATATATCTATCACGTTTATTTATATATATATATATATATATATATATATATATTATATATATATATATATATATATATATATATATATATAAAATAGTCCATGGTGTGTAATGAATTTATTTCGATGAATATAAATATACTCATCTCATCAGACCGATTACATTTTATGAAATTGAATCAATACATCCCAGACAGACACACAAAGATTTTTAAAAAAAAATGAGAAATAGAAAAAAAAAGGAAACAAAACAATAATGAAACAACAACAAAAATAATCTGACCAAGAAAAATTTTCTTTTGGGGACTTATGAAAAGAGAAAACAGAAGAAAAAAAAAAGACTTAATATATCGAGTAAGGGAAGGTAAAAAGATAGGAAGGTTAAATTTAAAACAGTTACAATAATATGTCAAATGAATCTCTCAAGAAAAGGATCGTCATAAAATCATTATCACATAATATTAATTATAATAATAAAAGGGTTATAATATACTTATAAGAATATATATATATTATATACTTTAGGATATTAAAACAAAAGCTACACGATTGCAATTATATTTCAACACTACAAATGGTAAACTACTGGCAATACTTTGTTTTGAGCCCTCATTTAAATGTTAAGGACAGTGGAATTATACTAAATTTGCTCTCATTTTACCTGGAGATATATATATATATATATATATATATATATATATATATATATGTGTGTGTGTGTGTGAAAAGTGTATATAAATATAAATAAATATAAGTATGTATAATTATTTATATATTATATGCGCGGTACTTATTAGAAAGCGCTCAATATCAGAGCTAGCATATATATATATATATATATATATATATATATATATATATATATATATATATATATATATATATATATATAGAGAGAGAGAGAGAAAGTTATGAAGAATTTGGTAAATCCAAGGAGGATGAAATCCTGAGAGCTCAATGTGAAGAACAGAGCTAATATTTAATGAACAACAGACACTAAGGTACAATTACAATAATTTATTTCACCAAAATCCTTTTTAAAGGATTTTGGATCATTAAATAACACTTCCAACAATGAAATGAGAGGAAAAAATGTGATTAGAAATTGATGGGTAGTGTAATTTTTTGTAATTAAACAGGAGGAGGGAAGGTGGCGGTTAAAGAGACAATACAAAATATAGTGAGGGTTAAATTTACATCTCTCTTAAATAATCCTTAAATTGGGGTAGGAGGAGTGACCTAACCTTGACCTATTTATGTGGTAAAGGAAAAAGGAAGTGATATATATATATATATATATATATATATATATTCTCCCCCTCCCTCTTTGCAATAAAACTCTTTTGGATACGTCTGCCTTTTTTTCCACTTTTTCTTTCTCTTTACTTTATTTCCTTTCCTCACTATTCCTATATATCACTATATATATATATTACAATGAATAATTCATACAAAATATAGATTAGGAAAGTTAGTTTAGTATATATTTTTTCGTCTTGCATTCTACCTGAATTTTACCAAAAACAAATTCCATGCCTGAAGATGAATGAATGTACAGTTGAAAGTACTTACGTATTAAAGAAATACTTATAATTTTTAAAAACAAGCATCATAACATTCATCGAGTGATTTGTAGGTTAATGCACCTTTAAAATTTTTTAACGAAGGGATTTTGCCATTTTATATCATTAACTTTACTAATTTATTTTTTGTATGAATGATTCATTGTAATATAAATTGAACTGCATCACACACACACAATATATATATATATATATATAAGTTTCGAAAACTGAAATGCTTTAATAGGATTGTATATAGTAGGTTGGTTGATTTTCATAAAGAAATAGTTCAGTACCTGATTACAAGTTGCATGAACATGTCATTTATTTTTTAATCAACTCTTTACAAAATGCTGTAAAACTTTCCATTCTTTAATCTCAGACATCGTATTCAATTAAATAATCGCCTTTGTCATCAATATTTATGCGAAGATTTTTCTTTTCGTTTAACACAATTTTTAAAAAATGCCTGTGTGAATAGTCGAAACGAGAAAAACAGATATGGAAAGAGAATTCTGGAGACGAGGTTTCAGGATAAATGTAGAAAAATCACGTGGTCGAGATAATCACTCAGTTGTGGAGCAAGCTAAGTGAATAATAATTCAACCTTGAGAAAGAGAGCTATTTATGGTGCCATGGAGCATCTCATTGTGCTAAAGTGGGATAGTCCATTGCTTGGGCTGTGATTGGCTGCTGGTACCTGAGTGGAGGTATTTCTATATAAATACCAGCTTGATTCATCAGTTTGCAGGGTTTGTATTTAGTTACAACCTGCTTTATTTTTGTCTGCCAGCTGGACGCTAGCTGGGACCCTTACGCCGGTAAATGCTGTTTATTGTATTGTTATTCTACAGAGAAAGAAAAAAAAAGTAAAGATAAATTAATCCATGCATTGAATATTACTGTCACATCTGCTCTGGTGCTTCTGCTATGTATTTAGAGATTCATAACAAAATCCAAAGAAGGAAATTGCAACGTTATCGATCCTGACTGGCATCTCGGCTTCAGTCACATAAGCCTCCGCCGTAACGTATCTTCCTTGTCCATTTTCTACAAATATGGTAACTGTTCTGAGTTTCTTTTTTCATAATCTAGACTTTACGAATTTAACGCCACGGCCTTATCAGTTGAAGTGGCTAGATGTAACCGTAACTTTATGCTAAGTGTTTCTTTTCTCGCACTTCTTACTTGTGAAACTTTCTTCCAGTTTCTTGCTTTCCAATCAATTTTGATCTTTAAAAATTTAAATGCAATCACAATCATCATCTTTCTCTAATTCCTGTTTTTTTTTTTTTACTGTTCCCCCTCTCTAATAACTTTTTTGTTCTAGATGTTTTCACATCCAATAATCCCTTACGTCTCAGAAGCTTTGTCACCTTGCTTGGGGTGAATTGAGTAATAATAATAAAAATGGGGTGACAGAAGGAAATGTTACTAGAGAGGATGATTAAAAATATGATGAAAAGTATTGGCATAATATAATTTTTATCTGCAGACCTCTAGCGCGTAAATGTAGCTGGAGGAACTACAAACTAAAATAGTTTGAGAGTAAAAAAAACAACCGAAGAAACAAGCAGAAAACCAAAAGATCAACAAATACAGTTATATAATAAGGAACGCGATCGCCATTTGTTTTTTTTCTTTTATTTAACATATTTATTTATAAATATTTAACATCAAATACGGCACAAGCCCAAAATTGCCGGAAAGAGAGAACTTATTCTCAATCACTGACCCACGTGTAATATAGTAACAACACCCCTTAACAGCTTATAAAGCCTTATTAGACTTAATTCGGCTTTAGCACCGAAAATATATATATATTTGTCATGGATAATTACAAACCAGAGGCGAGATGGAATGTTCTTATTTTATTGCTACAGTCAAACAAACATTTCGAACGCCCTAGAGAGAGGCAAACAAACATTTCGAACGCCCTAGAGAGGCAAACAAACATTTCGAACGCCCTAGAGGCAAACAAACATTTCGAACGCCCTAGAGAGAGGCAAACAAACATTTCGAACGCCCTAGAGAGAGGCAAACAAACATTTTCGAACGCCCCAGAGAGAGGCAAACAAACATTTCGAACGCCCTAGAGAGAGGGCAAACAAACATTTCGAACGCCCTAGAGAGAGGCAAACAAACATTTCGAACGCCCTAGAGAGAGGCAAACAAACATTTCGAACGCCCTAGAGAGAGGCAAACAAACATTTCGAACGCCCTAGAGAGAGGCAAACAAACATTTCGAACGCCCTAGAGAGAGGCAAACAAACATTTCGAACGCCCTAGAGAGAGGCAAACAAACATTTCGAACGCCCTAGAGAGAGGCAAACAAACATTTCGAACGCCCTAGAGAGAGGCAAACAAACATTTTGAACGCCCTAGAGAGAGGCAAACAAACATTTCGAACGCCCTAGAGAGAGGCAAACAAACATTTCGAACGCCCTAGAGAGAGGCAAACAAACATTTCCGAACGCCCTAGAGAGAGGCAAACAAACATTTCGAACGCCCTAGAGAGAGGCAAACAAACATTTCGAACGCCCTAGAGAGAGGCAAACAAACATTTCGAACGCCCCTAGAGAGAGGCAAACAAACATTTCGAACGCCCTAGAGAGAGAGGCAAACAAACATTTCGAACGCCCTAGAGAGAGGCAAACAAACATTTCGAACGCCCTAGAGAGAGGCAAACAAACATTTCGAACGCCCTAGAGAGAGGCAAACAAACATTTCGAACGCCCTAGAGAGAGGCAAACAAACATTTCGAACGCCCTAGAGAGAGGCAAACAAACATTTCGAACGCCCTAGAGAGAGGCAAACAAACATTTCGAACGCCCTAGAGAGAGGCAAACAAACATTTCGAACGCCCTAGAGAGAGGCAAACAAACATTTCGAACGCCCTAGAGAGAGGCAAACGAACATTTCGAACGCCCTAGAGAGAGGCAAAAAAACATTACAAACAGCCTCAAGACGCGCAGATATTTGAAAGTCTCAAGATACTGCATTATAACACTAGGTAGAAGCTTATGAATCTTTATTAGACTTAATTCAGCTTTAACGCCGAAAAACGATATATCTATTGGAATGGATAGGTACAAGCGGGAGGGGAGATGGGACGTGAGCATTTTATTATCACACAACACATCTGATAATGTACCATTCAGCATAACGCCACATTCTTGCATAGCACGCGTTTCTACTGTCACAAAAATACCATAAATGAAGTCAGAACTTGTCCCTATCTGCACAGTGTTTTTTTTTTATATACATCTCCAATGTGTATGGACAAGGTGAAAAATAATATATATGTATATATATATTTACAAAAACTAAACGTAATTATTAGTAAGTACCCCGCCACCCACACGACAATTACGGCAGAAATATCTGTTCGTCAGACGAAAATTATGTGGAACTGAATAAACATTGACTATATACCACGCATTTGGTTACAGTGATTCACTCAGCGTAGCTTGGATGTGGCACAAGGCCCAAAGTATGGAGCCCCCAATGAGAATCAAACTCGAAACTCAGCCGTAATTGATCTAGCAAGCTTGCTAGATATTACGCCGAATTGCCCAACAACAGTTGTTTATATGCCGAAAACTCAACCAAGTTAATTGAGTCTTATTAACATTACTTAGTAGTGGGCTCAATCTTCAAAAGGGTGGACCATATTAAACTGGCCATTAAATAACTCAAAAGATAACATGTAAATGAACCAATCAATCAATAACAGATTATTTACATATAGAATTACATTATAAAATCAGTGTATGGTAAAAGTCATATTTGCCAAAAGGAACGGCTAAATCAACAGTGCACAATACAATTGTCAAAAACATAAAGGTAGGACAATTGAAGCTATAATAAATTGGAAACGCCGAAATTTTATGCTACCCCATACATTATATATATATATATATATATACACACACACACAAAGTGTAAAAGTTTTTGACAACGCATTCGCTTTTGAAAGGTAGACGTTCACAGGTCAGAATGTTTTCCACTTTACCATCTCACCAGATTTTTACGGATTTTAATTCCTACTAACACAAACACTGTGTGTGTGTGTGTATATATATATATATATATATATATATATATATATATATATATATATATCGTGCACTATATTACAAAGACTTCATGAATTAAGTTTCCTTTCTTTCAAACTTCCACTGACAGCATTTCTGGTTTTATACTATCATATATATATATATATATATATATATATCCTATTCCTGCTCTGTTTATGACATTGAGCTCTACCTGGATTATATCCTCTGGGAAATAAAAGATATATAATTAAACTAACATGAATATCTGAGAAATCTTTGGAAAAATATGCGCCATCTGTCTCAAATATTCTGACCGGTTGGGATGGGGGGTGTATGTGTGAGATGAAAACAACAAAGGTTAGGAAAATAGCCGGCATGTAAATAGGTCTCTTCATATCTTTCAGATATTGTGGCTATTCACTAACGGCATCAACTAAAATGGATAGCACATCTAACTCGAAAAGAGAATAATAAGAGAATAATCTAGATGTTGACGTTCTACCCTACCCAAAATAAAGGACCACCCCATTAATAGTGGACAGAGGTCTAACAGTTACTCAGCTTGAGAAACCTATTTTCCTGGATTTTTTTTTTTTTGAAAGATTTTACAAATTACAACCGAAAGAATCAATGTCTGGTAGCTGAAGAATGTAGAATATTTACTTATAAGGAAATGGCTAATATTACTATTAGCGATGAGGAGAACAGGTACTACAGTTTGATCTCAGCTGAATGACGAGGGAATGAAGAAAAGTTTATCAAGTAGCAGTGGTTGCTCGGTCAATGAACGTCGAATGTTTCCTTCTAACGGAATGTCTGTAAAGCTGGAGTCTTGTTCAATTTATAACAAATAACAACGTTACTTATAGCTTAAAATCTTATGGCGTGCTGTCAGAGCTATTTTTGATCAGAAAACTAAAATTAAATGGGGTTGCACTATTTATCCTGAAATCCTCTAATTTATATTAGCGTAGGCTGAAAACTTAATCGGCTGACTGTGAAGGGGTGGTGCTAGAACTGTGAAATATTGCATGCATTTATGTTTACTATTCTTATAACTGCATCGTTTATTTCCAGATAAACTGTTTCAAGAAGACCCTGTTGGTCAAAAAAGCAGATACGACGTCATCACCACTGATTCTCGTCCAAATAGTCAAATCAGGAGAATAGGAAGGGAGGTCAACCAGTTCAAATGCAATAAAAACAAAGGACTTGTGTAATGATGTTGCAAAACACTTATATAATTTTCCTGTGCGTTTCAGCCACAGTGGGTTTTTTTTTTTATGCCGACAGTTTATATTGCAGATAATTTTAAAGAAATTATTACTGGTATGACCCTAACAGGTAGCTACCACCCCGGGTCAGGGTGGACCTGGGAACACCAGCAATTAAGAGGTGGTTCCACGCCCGATTAAAACCTCCTGATTAAAGGCCTTGCTGTTGGACGTAGTTTATCGCCATACCCATGGACGCGGATGTAGTTTATCGCCATACCCATGGACGCGGATGTAGTTTATCGCCATACCCATGGACGCGGATGTAGTTTATCGCCATACCCATGGACGCGGATGTAGTTTATCGCCATACCCATGGACGCGGATGTAGTTTATCGCCATACCCATGGACGCGGATGTAGTTTATCGCCATACCCATGGACGCGGATGTAGTTTATCGCCATACCCATGGACGCGGATGTGGTTTATCGCCATACCCATGGACGCGGATGTAGTTTTATCGCCATACCCATGGACGCGGATGTAGTTTATCGCCATACCCATGGACGCGGATGTAGTTTATCGCCATACCCATGGACGCGGATGTAGTTTATCGCCATACCCATGGACGCGGATGTAGTTTATCGCCATACCCATGGACGCGGATGTAGTTTATCGCCATACCCATGGACGCGGATGTGGTTTATCGCCATACCCATGGACGCGGATGTAGTTTATCGCCATACCCATGGACGCGGATGTAGTTTATCGCCATACCCATGGACGCGGATGTAGTTTATCGCCATACCCATGGACGCGGATGTAGTTTATCGCCATACCCATGGACGCGGATGTAGTTTATCGCCATAACCAGGACACTTGGGCGTTTGGTTTTGATAACCATTCGTAACTCTCTCAGTAAATTGGCATAGTATCCTCGTAATTTTAAACGTAATTTAATCACTCAATGCACTTTTATCATTTACAATTGTCTGATGGAGTACTGTTTGACCTATTTTTAATCAGAAAACAAAATTATATGTGATTGCACTAGTAATCCTGAATAGACAAACCCCATGCTGAAATCTAATTTATAAATGAAAAGTTTTAATGTTACCAATTTAATCTCGAGCCATCTACGAACTATGTGATAATTGCGTGTTCTTTGATCGTATATTTCTTACTTCCTCCCTTTTTAATACAGTTTGTCATAATTATTTCGGAAATAAAGGTTTCAATTGAAAATGATCGATTTTATGATATAAAAAAATCAATTATGTATTTAATTTTTTAAAATCATTTCATCCCCAACTAAGGCAATAATTCCACAAGCCAAAGTTCGGTTCATTGTATTCTCAGCATCCTTCTGTAGAACCATATTTACGTAGCCTAAAGTTTCTTCTTCATCTGTGCTAAGATTGTCCAACATTATTTACTGCCATATCGGAAGACTGATATTACGTAACTGTTCAGTAGTCGTTTCTTTGTTTCTAAAGAAATTTTCCTGTTTCTTCATAATTTGCTTTGCGTTTGGAAGTCAACTTTCGCTATCCTAAATCGTTTTCGTGTTTCAGTGTAGCACTTTCCGCTCTATGTGAAAAAAAAAAAAAAACTTTCCCGATATTTAAACTCCTCTAGTTGTTTGATGTTGTTATCTCCAATTTGTAATTTGCTTGTTGTATGCTGTGTTCCTTTGGTTAACAACCATGCATCTTGACTTTTGCTATTGATGTTTACTCCTTTCTTCGCGCTTTCCTTAACTTAAGTTTCTATCTGTGGAAAAAAATCCTTGTCTTACACCCCTTTCTTTTTTTTTATTTACTGAATGCATTTTCTATCTCTGTGCAGGGGTTGTACTACCTGAATCAGTTCTGGATTATTCTAATAATCTGCCCAAGTATGTCCGGGTTAACTAGCAATTACATCAGTTCTTTGTGACGTACCTTATCAAACGTTTTTGCATAATCCCTAAAAGGAGAAAATGTTCTTATCTCCAATTTATAATTTGCTTGTTGTATGTTGTGTTCCTTTGGCTAACAACCATGCATTTTGACTTTTGCAATTGATGTTTAGTCCTTTCTTCGCGCTTTCCTTAACTTAACTTTCTATCTGTGGAAAATATCCTTAATGGACCAAACAAGTGAACAACGGAAAAGTTCATTTGGCTTGTTGGTATTTCGTTCAAGATAGATTCATTCGTTTCCTACGGCTTGTTAACCTATTGAAGGTTATTTAAAGCCAGAAAATATTTTTTATTTTGTTAAAAAAATTTTGACGAAGATAATGGTTTAGTGATACAAATTTTACTAATTAATTGATTAGCTGAGTGGATTCCCACATTTCTCAAGTGAAGATAACGAGCGCAACAGGATTTGGAAGACGGCACTCCGATTAATAAGAAAAATAAAGAGAGAGGAAGAGGAGAGAGAGAGAGAGAGAGGAAGAAGAGGCGAGAGAGAGAGAGAGAGAGAGGAAGAAGAGGCGAGAGAGAGAGAGAGAGAGAGGAAGAAGAGGCGCGAGAGAGAGAGAGAGAGAAGAGGAAGAGAGGCGAGAGAGGAAGAAGAGGCGAGAGAGGAAGAAGAGGCGAGAGAGGAAGAAGAGGCGAGAGAGGAAGAAGAGAGGGGAAGGCGAGAGAGGAGAGGAAGAAGAGGCGAGAGAAGAAGAAGAGAGAGGAAGAGGCGAGAGAGAGAAGAAGAGGCGAGAGAGAGAGAGAAAGAGGCGAGAGAGAGAGGAAGAGGCGAGAGAGAGAGAGAGAAAGAGGCGAGAGAGAGAGAGAGAAAGAGGCGAGAGAGAGAGAGGAGAGAGAGAGAGAGGAAGAGGAAGAGAGAGAGAGAGAGGAAGAGGCGAGAGAGAGAGAGGAAGAGGCGAGAGAGAGAGAGAGGAAGAGGAGAGAGAGGCGAAAAAGAGAGAGAGAGAGGCGAAAAAAGAGAGAGAGAGAGAGAGGCGAAAAAGAGAGAGAGAGAGAGAGAGCGAAAAAGAGAGAGAGAGAGGAAGAGGTGAAAAAGAGAGAGAGAGAGGAAGAGGAAAAAAAAGAGAGAGAGAGAGGAAGAGGCGAAAAGAGAGAGAGAGAGAGGAAGAGGCGAAAAGAGAGAGAGAGAGAGGAAGAGGCGAAAAGAGAGAGAGAGAGAGGAAGAGGCGAAAAGAGAGAGAGAGAGAGAGGAAGAGGCGAAAAAGAGAGAGAGAGAGAGAGGAAGAGGCGAAAAAGAGAGAGAGAGAGAGGAAGAGGCGAAAAAGAGAGAGAGAGAGAGGAAGAGGCGAAAAAGAGAGAGAGAGAGAGGAAGAGGCGAAAAAAGAGAGAGAGAGAGAAGAGGCGAAAAAAGAGAGAGAGAGGAAGAGGCGAAAAAGAGAGAGAGAGAGAGGAAGAGGCGAAAAGAGAGAGAGAGAGAGGAAGAGGCGAAAAAGAGAGAGAGAGAGAGGAAGAGGCGAAAAAGAGAGAGAGAGAGAGAGGAAGAGGCGAAAAAGAGAGAGAGAGAGGAAGAAAAAGACCGAAGCAAAAGAAAGAAAATAATGAAAAGATAGCGATAAAGTGTTAAATGATAGACTACTCAAAAATATAAAGAAACGAAAGGAAAAAAGTATCGAAGAGCAACAAACAAAAACAAAAACGAAAAAAAGAGAGGAAAAGGGGAAATAAAAATGAAAAAGGCTTAAAGCCAAAAGAAAGAATTCAAAACAACCCATTACTAAAGCGGCAAATTGAGTAGCGATAAAATGTAAATAAATAATTTATTTTATTACCTGTAATTTTATTTCAGTGCTTCTCATTGAGTCAGAGCTATTTTTTTTCCTGAGTGCCAAAACATGTAGCGGGTAAACGATAACAGGAAACACGTTGCTGAAGAATTCGGGTGCAATATGGTTTAAGGAAGTGCAAGAATTATTAACATCCGTATGAAACGCTTTCACTGTCCATTTGTCAAGGCGACGGGAGCCGCGCGTCAGTCGGGAATTTCATTAAAAGTTTAAAAATACGATATAAACTAAATAATTTATTGGAAATAAAGACAAGTACAGAAGAGACGAAAGATGAAGGAAAACAGAGGAAAAATGACAAAGATAAACGTTCTTTAATCTATATTATTTCCAATTGGAAAAATGGTCGCTTCCATGTACCGTTCCAATAAGTTCTTGAAGACCCCCTACTATTTTCTACCTTTACAAAAGCCAAATTAAGCCACTCAGGACATGTTAAACGCAAGAGGGACAAAGGAAAGCAACGCATAACCTACCTAGTGAGCTTTAGGCCTCTAGGTAGGTTAGGGAAGATGTAAAACGTTGAGGAGAGATAACAAAGGACACATGATCCAGTGGATAAAAGCGTTGCTTGGATCCAGGGACTTTACCCAAAGAGTTGTGAGTTCAATACCTGGCTACTGCAGTTGGGAGAAAAAACTTGTTGAGTTGAGTTAAAGGCAGTTAACTAACACATCTGGAAGAGGCACGACACGTGGAACTAAAACGATCTACCCCGGTGGATGAAATAAATAGTTCAGGTCGAAATTCCAATCATCTGAAAAAGGCCGGAGCGTATAACGGTTGAAACGTTGTGAACATGACAATAAAGATGAGGACAACAATCCGACAATGTAAATAGTTACAATACCTCACCTCAGAAATATAGACAGATCCTGAAGTAGGCCGGAGCGTACAACAGTCGAAACGTCGTGAATATGACAATAAAGATGAGGACAACAATCGGAACAATGTAAATAGTGTAAATAGTTACAATACCTCACCTCAGAAATATAGACAGATAACAAAAAGAATTTATTAATGATGTAATGGAATAACCATTCACCCCCATGAATGATTACTTTATAGGTAGTTGCTACCTATAGTGTTATCATTCATGGGGGTGTCTGGTTATTCCATTACATCAATTAACAAGCCCAAGCCTCACTTCTCTTATTGTCCCAGGGTCACAAAACTATATTTTAATTAATTTTGGTACAAGCGACTTTGTTTTAACATTGTTTTATATATGAGGCAAGGATAGCATAGGTAGTATTCATTGACCATGACCCCTAAGTGTCGTTAGGTACCTGAATCCATTTTACAACCAAGAGTCCTACATGAATGTATGGGACAGCTATGTGTATGTAAAAAAGTAACAAAAAAAAAAGAAAAAAAAAAAAAGCAAATTCCTCAAGGAAAAGGAAATAATAAAAGTCCCCCCCCAAAAAAAAATCAAAGATATTTTATTTTTTGTTGTACAAAATTTGTTTCTGATGTCGCATGATCTCAATCAATCAAATATCTCACTACTCATAGAAAAGAAACTGGAAAACGACCCACGGTAGAATAGTGTGGGCCTAGCACACACATCACCACGACCCTCCGATGGGACGTGTGGGATCCGACGTGTTAAGTGCTACAAAGGTTAGGAAGCTGTGGAGGGTAATGATAGCCAACGTCCCGAATGGATATATCACAAAGAAGATGGTAGAATTAATAGTGCCGGAAGTTGGCGCTTATAAAAGAAAAAGTAATTTTAAACACAAACAATCGAAGGTTAAAGAACACATCGACCACAAAAAAATTCGTATAGGATTTAAGAAAATGGAACATACATTACGCTAGCGGTAATTTCGTACAGAAACGTAAGATGCTGGAAAAACCAAAATTTTGACACGGAAACGAAAATGATGTTCTTAAATCCGCCACCGCAGCCCTCAGATCGAAATTAACGTATCTTTTGATTGATTGATTCGCTTTCTGTGACTTATCAACCCTCTCCACATTATTCAAAGCCAGAAAATACTTCTAGATTGCAAGATTTATTTTTTTCTTGGAGATAACAATGGTTTAATGATAAAAGGGACACCAATTAAGCCATATCAGGGGAGGGAGAGAAGAGGTAAATTCATATCTTTCCCAAGGATAGTTGCGATTAGAATGATTATAACGAACCCAACCGGAATTGAAACTCGGTCCTCCGATTAACAATTCGGAGACATTACCCATTACACCACCCACACATCCAAGCTTACAGCACCTATAAAGATAGTGACCAAACTCGACGTTTCTTAACTTCGGCGATCTACAGGAACCGGTGTTTCGATGTGATGCGGCCGTAAGCCTTCAACTAATATATGGATATCAGTCAGTGTCCAACTTGTCCAGAAACGTCTAAACCATAATTTATCTACAACCATTTTCTCAGATCAATGATTAAATATGGTTTCAAGCCTTCGGTCATTAAAGAATACTATCCTTCATCAGATTCTGTAATCTGGCGCTACAAAATCACAAACCAAATAACAAAAAAACACCACTTGAAAACTTCTATCAGCAACAGAAAAACTCCGTAGCACGTATAATTAGAAGAGAAAATAATGGTATAATCAAGGCGGTAAATTTCTATGGTACCCCAGCCAAAAAAAAAAAAAAAAATGGTGTACTGCTGCCATATATGGATAGGAGCTGCTCAGACTTCACTTTGCAGTCTTGAGTCTAAAAGGCGTCTCCGCGTCCTTGTGGGTGATGAATTGCTTTCCACCTTGCAATCCCTTTCCCCACAGACGAAATGTCGTAAGCTTCTCACTACTCTATCATTTCCCATCGAGAGCGCTCAGACGAACTACATGCCTTATTTCCTCGCCCTAACCTTCACGGCTAAGACCCACAATGCCACGCGCATTGTAGCGAATGTACCTCATTCCCTTCGTCATATATTGGTTTTAATAACCTGCAAAAGGTTGATAAACCGTAAAGAAAATCAACCAATAACTACAGACTTCGAATCAGTAGTAACAAGTCAATCAGTAACTGCGCAGTACCAAAGAAAAAAAACAAAAGGTGATATCCCTAGACGTGGTTAGCGAAACGATAAAAGCCAGCGTACGTAGATTAAATAAGGAGTCCAGTTTGAAATACCCTGAAAGGTAACCGGACTAAAAAAAAAAAAAAAGAAAAACCTCCTGAAGGATGGTTGATACTAGCTTTATCGTAATCATTGACTTGCAGACTTGCATAATAAAACCTGACAGTATGTATAAAGAAACGAAATTGTCTTAGACGATAAAGAATAAAAATAATTAAAGAACGAGGAAAAAAAAAAGAATGACGCATTTCTTGAGAAAGGAAGAAAAGAAATATGAAGATATGATAAAATGAAGGTAAGAAAAGCGAAATGGAGGAAGGAAAGAAACGATGAACGGATAGAAAGAAACTGAACAAAAAATAAACAATTAATTCAAATATGTTTCAGGAATCAATAATTCTTACAGATCTATATTGAGTCCATTTGCGAGTTGAACTTTTCCTCTGACTATATTTTGAAATATTTTTTTAGTCTCAAGTTTTTAGTAGCTTAACGATTGAAATGAAAAAAAAAACTTAAATAAAAATAATATATAGCAGTCGGCAAAAAAAAAAAAAATAACTAGAAAAGAAAAACGTTCAGTAAAAAGCAGCAAATTACAAAAATAGCGAGTATCGACTCGACACTGTTTTCTCGACATTACCAACAAAATGGCCATTTCAGTGGCACACCGTCTTTCACCTCCTGCGTCGAAGTTTCACGAACAATGGAAAATTTGACGAGGCAAACACGTGACTAGATTGTTTTTCCTGTTGACCGTTGACGTGGTCATTTTTAAAACCTTTATTGCTTCAGCATGCAACACTTATGTTTATTTTATTTTGCAGAAACAAAGATTCATTCTTCTTTCACGATCCATGTCAATATATATATATATATATATATATATATATATATATATATATATATATTCACTTATAAATGTGCAACGATGCTCATTCATGGCCGTAGGAGGCGTGAGGGGGGAGAGGTAGTCATTGGCTCGTCAAAAACTTTTACCATTTATAGTTTACAGATTTTTTATTTTAACAAAATAAAATAAAGAAATAAATACAAGAAAGAAAAAAAACTATTAAAGCAAGGAAAAATATAACTTTCATAAACCCCGATAAAAGAATTCTTTTTTTAAAAAAAGGTGTACGGTGAGGGTAATTTATTACGATGATGTTAATTTCCCTTTATCGCGTGGGTGAGTTTTGAATTTAGAATTGCGGTGAGTTCAATAAAATAAAATCTAACAATATAAATGTACAAACAAATCGAAGAAATTTAAATTAAAACAAAGCATTTGCTTTACCTTAAAATCCTTATCTCTTTTTCTATCGTTCGCTATCCTTTCTTTCTATATATTTTTTTTATCTCAAATAAAATGAATATAAAGAGAAAAGACTCTTCCTGGCCGATAAACACCGGATATTGACGGTCCAGCAGCTAAATACTTTGCGACAAAGACCTCCGAAAACTCTGCCAATCTAGATATACTGGAAATGTTAAATGTTCTTGCCGCTAACCATGTTGGTGGCCTTTGATAACTTGAGGCTAAAAAAATTTTTGGTGCCTCACCTAAAACATTTGTCTCTGCTGCAGCCCTGCGCGGTCGTGCATATTACAGGAAAGTCAACACTCATGATATGAATCTGGTAATTGCCATTCGAAGCGAGATTGTCCAATCAAACTCTAGTGAGAATACTAGACAACGCAAACGCAAATTTGCGAGTTGATTTAATTAGACAATGTTTTAAATATTAAAATGGCACGCGGCCATTCTTCTCTTTAGCCAAGTTAACTCAGCTAGCTATGTATGCTCATCGGTCCCTTTTACTTCTGTCCCTATTTTTCTTTTGTTTAATTCCCCATCCCTCCCATCTTTAGGGTGTATAGTGATGTCAGTTCTCTGGTGGGTGCGGGGTGTCTTTCGTTTCGGGTGTGATTTTCGTATTTGTTGTTGTGTTTGAATGAGTATATGCTTGTAGTGAATACATGGAGTATATGAATGTTTGATTTTTTTTTTAAATCCCGCATTGATTTCATCCAGTTAATTGATCTTTCTTCCACAGGTAAGGCTGGGGTAGGGTATTGTTGTATATAGTTTTGTACTCACATTTTAAATACTCATTGGGGCTTTTAGATTTTTAAAATGTTATTTTTATTTCCCTCCCCAGACAATGAATTGTACATATGGAGACTAGTTAGGAGTTTCTGAGTTACTATAGTTGATGAGGTAAGAAAGGTAAGTAAGAATGCGTTGTTTTGATGGAAGGAATATTGTTTGTATATTTGGGTCAGTGTTTGTGACTAGCTAAGTTTAACGTTAAGACAGAACATCCTTTTCCTCCATTCCCGTTTTGGCCTTGTGCCACATTTGTACAATAAATATAATCGCACTCGGCCATTATAAATATTGCGATTCTAGTTTTTCAGACAGCACAGATAAGATAACTGAGTATTGCTGTCATATTTGGCCGGAAGCTGCTTAGTCCTTACTTTCCGGTCTCGATAGAGTCCAAAAGAGTTTCCGCGTTCTTGTGGGTGATAAATTATTTCTTACGCAGAAACCCTTCTCATATAGACAAGATGTAGAAAGCTTCGCACTACTTTATCGCTTCTTCCATGGAAAGTGCTCAGACGAACTGCATGTTAGTTCTCCCAGTTCTAACCTTCACGGCTTGTACCCGCCATGGTACGCATTGTTGCGAATCACCCTCGTTCATTTCGTTTTCGATGAGTGAGAAGTAAGTTCCTCTCAAGCAGCTTCTTCCCGCAAACCACTGCTCTGTGGAATCGACTCCTAAGAGGATGTCTTCTCGATGACTACAGGGTGGGCCGTAAGTTTCCAGCCAGAAAAAAAAATAAACATTTTATGTTAGACAACTGTTTTTATTTATATAATGTGCTCTATATGATTACCATTGTTCAAAAAAAAAAAAAAAAAAAAAAATAAAAGATATTAATACGTGTTTCCCACTGTTGGTGAACACGCATTAGCAGAGTTGAGGTTATTCTTGTCATGGCGTTGGTGATACGTTCCTTGAGATGTTTTGGGTCTCGTATCTTCAGCTAATACACCATGCCCTTCAGGTGGACCAAAAGACAGAAATCAAGGTGGTGAGATCTGTGGATCTTGGCGTCCACACCACAGGATCACACGGACCGATCCAAGCACCATGAAACTGCTGATCCAAATACCGATGCATTGGATCATATATATGGTATGACGTTAACTGGATGGGCAGGAGCTGCTCAGTCCTCCCTTTCCGGTCTCGAGAGAGTTCAGAAGCGTCTCAGAGTCCTTGTGGGTGACGAATTATTTTCCACCCTCTCACCTCTCACCCACAGGCGGTATGTAGCGAGCCTTTCACTATTGTATCGCAGCTTATGGAAAGAGCTCAGACGAATTAGATTCCTTGGTTCCCTCAATTCTAACCTTCACGGCTAGAAGCCGCCATGTCACTCACATTATAGCAAACCGCCTTTATTACTTCCGTGTTCCAATGGTGAGAAATAAGGTACACTCGAGCAGTTTCTTTCTGCGAACCTCTGCTCTGGGAAACCGACTCCTGCGAGGCTGTTTTCCCGATCGCTACACTCTTAACCTGCCTAGGGTTGACCGTTATCTTCCACACTTATCCGCATAAACTGTGCCTCTTACTCTGTAACCCCCTATCCCGAGTGGGCCCCAAGCCTTGTACAGTATAAACCTCACTGTAAAAGAAACAAAAAGCTCTCTGCAACAGAAGTTTTTTACGTATCAACCATGCCGTTAAGAAAGCCAACTTTTTCCGTTTTCGGTCGGAATTCTCTCACAGTGAGTGTAGTTATGTTCAATAAATCCGTTTCCGAGGACAGATGTTTGGAAGGATTTCCGTCCTACAATATTATTTATCAATAATATCCCTTCATGACGTAGACCATCAAGGCTCTTGACAACTTTCTATCCCTTGTAGCACTTAGCAGCGTTTATCCCTTTGCTACCTCTGTGTTTGATAAAGTAGGTTACAAAGTAAATCCATTCAGTAAATATATAAAAATAGAAAGCAGTTTAAGACAAGGATGTGTCTTCTCACCGGACTTCAACGTACGCAATGTAGAGATTCTGTGAAAATTAGAAGTCCTACCGGGATTCGTTATTGGTGGCCACAATCATCACCCCATTAGATATGTAGATGACACGGTGTTCTGTGAGATTTAAACGAAAATTGAGTGGTTGGAAAATAAATTTCCACTCAAATCTGTTCCCGCTGGCAGCTACCGTGCAAACCGGAACAATGCTTCGCTCGGGACTGTTTTCTGCACACCGTAAACAACAATATTATCGCTCTTACTCTGGAACTTGGGTATAACCTTTACCAGTCTCAAAGAACAAACTACTCCTGAAACAAAAAGTCAACTATTTTTATCCTTCCTTGGTCTCGGGCAAGAAACCGAGATCTCTCGCTTGTGTTAGCCTCATTCTCGCCGATAACGCATGCGCTGTGTCACTTCAACATTGATTTGCCGAAGTTCACTTCGCAGGTCGATGATGTCGACAAGCACATGTGCAGAGAATTTGCTTTCTCTTGCTTCGGCGAGCTATGTCTCTACTGTATGTTCATAGCAAAAACAGAAAGGAGACTACTGGACCTACACTAAAGGTATTGAAGGCAAGCGAGAAGAGGAGACTGAACAATAATTGCAAGTAGACAATAAATATATTATCAGTAAAAGGAACAGCCCAAGATGCAGACTATGAATTGAAGACACGAAAATCAAACAAGTACAAAAAGTTAAATATCTACCAATTTTTTTAACAGAGGACGGAAAGTGCGATACCGAAAATTCGAAGAAGCCTTTAAAAAGCTAAGCAAAGTATTAAGAAACAGAATAATCTTGTTAAAATTAAGGAAAATAGTATTGAACTTTTAGGTAATACCATGTTCTGTTACATATGCAGTGAATGCTGGACAATCTCCTCATAGATGAAGGAAAAACTTGAAGCAAAGAAATGTGGTTCTACAAAAAGATTCTGAGAATATCATGAACTAAACATGTGAGCAGTGAAGTGCGCTTTAGAGAAAATGGTAGCAGAAAGGATACTTATACTTAACATCGGAAAGAGACGCTTTTAATTTCTAGGGCAAGTAATGAGGAAAGAGAGCTTAGAAAATCTAATACTCACAAGACATTTAAGTCAAGAGTTGACAGAGGAATGCAGGGCCTGACCTAGCTAACGAGCTTTTATAAATGGTTGGCAGAACAGGGATTAGGAGAGATCACGAAAAGAAAAAAAAATGCTAACCGCCAGAAGATCTACTGAGCCCTGAAATGAGTTGAGATAGCTCTCATTTCCTTGCGGGGTCGGGGAAACAACCATATTATTAACAAATTTCCTTTTTTCATCAGAGTAATACGCAGTTCTTTCGAAGTTTCATATAGGAATAACGTGTCGCTGCCGATACTAGGGTTTGAATACGGACCGCCGGAGAGAAAGCAGATTCGACCTCATCTTGAAGTCACGTGACAGGTAAAGTGTATATATATATAGGTATTAGCGGCGTCTGGCCGAGTATTGTTCGAAGGCGTTACTATTATTGTGTCTATGATACTTATATGGCACTTGTGCTTCGGCCCTGTTGCTGATAGTATCACGGCTACGGCTAGCTTGGACCAGCTATGACAAGCCAAGACCAGCTCTGACCAGCTTGGACAAGCCAAGACCAGCTCTGACCAGCTTGGACAAGCCATGACCAGCTCTGACCAGCTTGGACAAGCCATGACCAGCTCTGACCAGCTTGGACAAGCCAAGACCAGCTCTGACCAGCTTGGACAAGCCAAGACCAGCTCTGACCAGCTTGGACAAGCCAAGACCAGCTCTGACCAGCTTGGACAAGCCAAGACCAGCTCTGACCAGCTTGGACAAGCCAAGACCAGCTCTGACCAGCTTGGACAAGCCAAGACCAGCTCTGACCAGCTTGGACAAGCCAAGACCAGCTCTGACCAGCTTGGACAAGCCATGACAAGCCAAGACCAGCTCTGACCAGCTTGGACAAGCCATGACAAGCCAAGACCAGCTCTGACCAGCTTGGACAAGCCAAGACCATCTGACCAGCTTGGACAAATGACCAGCTAAGACCACTGACCAGCTTGGACAAGCCATGACAAGCCAAGACCAGCTCAGACCAGCTTGGACAAGACCAGCTCTGACCAGCTTGGACAAGCCAAAGACAAGACCAAGACCAGCTCTGACCAGCTTGGACAAGCCAAGACCAGCTCTGACCAGCTTGGACAAGACCATGACAGCTTGGACAAGCCAAGACCAGCTCTGACCAGCTTGGACAAGCCAAGACAAGCCAAGACCAGCTTGGACCAGCTTGGACCAGCTCTGACCAGCTTGGACAAGCCAAGACCAGCACTCTGACCAGCTTGGACAACAGTTTGACCAGCTTGGACAAGCCAAGACCAGCTCTGACCAGCTTGGACAAGCCAAGACCAGCTCTGACCAGCTTGGACAAGCCAAGACCAGCTCTGACCAGCTTGGACAAGCCAAGACCAGCTCTGACCAGCTTGGACAAGCCAAGACAAGTTCTGACCAGCTTGGACAAGCCAAGACCAGCTCTGACCAGCTTGGACAAGCCAAGACCAGCTCTGACCA